AGTCCTTCTTCAGATCTGCATTCTTGGAGTCCAAGCACATTGAGTCTGAAAAGGTGCATCTGGTCGAAGAGATAGTGGAGTTTTCCCTCTATGGCCATCTGGTCCTTTTGAAAGCGAGAGGACATTGGCAGTTGCAAAGCTAATGGCACATTTGACCGTTGCTTCTTGAGACACACCACTTTCACTTGTCTGTGATGAGCTGGTGCACGGGAGTTGTGGTACCACGGCTGCAAGTACTCCATCTTGCCATTGTGGAAGTCCTGCACGTCTTCCAAAGACTAGCCATAGGTGTGGGAAGATCTTGTGCCATTTTTGCATGTTGAGTCCAACTTGCCGAAGGTTGAAACTGCATTGCGCTTCTCGCTTGGCCACGAGGTCCACAAACTCGTTGTATGGGTCTCCCGCATGAGATCTGATGTGATGGAGAATCAAGTTTCCTCTGTGGGGAGCCCGTATTCGAGGCATTGGAAGATTCCTCGTAGAAGGCGGTAGGCCAAGTCGGGTTTACCAACTCCGATGTTGCCAAAAGCCTGATTTCCACAGGAAAGTGAGTCACAGCAAAAGATTGTTGGTGTAGTGCTGTTCTGCGTGATCCGCCAAATGCCTGCCCAGATGGGCGCCTCACGTTCAGCCACTTCTGCACCTATTCGTTCTGCATGTGTGAAGCATGCGCCAGACGGGTCATAGTGGACGGGTTGCGCATACCAGTCAATTGGCTCGACTTTCGTCGATCCGTCCGCAATGATCTTTTCTCCCAGCACAATCATAGACCATGCATCTGGGAAGCCAAGTGCGTCAGCATGTTGCGGAGCATGCCTTCTCAATCTTGATTGTGATGTCCCATCTGTGTAAATGAGCCACCTGTCAAAGCTTTCAAGTGTTCTTGGCTGCATGATGGCATTTTGCACAAACTCTGGAAGGTCGAGTCTCTCAAATGCCGAGAAGTCCTCGTTGAGAAAGTTCTCTCCAGCTTGGATCAGTTCCTTGAGATCCTCTTGGCTAAAACCCGTATGTATCATGTGTGCACCTTTATCCGGACGACCGGATTCAAGAACATCAGCCGGAAAGAATGGTGTACTCGTCACTGGGTTCGTGTGCCATTGTGGCCATTTAGATCTCAATTTGTTGTGGACTTCCTTGTCTGCAAACTCTGGGACAACATCGCAGAAAGTGACTCTGTGGATGGCCAGAGGGAGCTTCTCCTCCTTGAGGATGACTGCCCTGGCATAGCCCAGTGAGTCCAGTAGCTTCATCATGTCACAATGATTCAACTCGCTGGCCTGTGAATGTAGAATGCATCCTTGGGAGTCTCGGAGGTCCTGATTGCAGAACATGTAGTGCTGGTAAGTATTTTCTTCTGGACAGTCTTTGTTGAAGCACAGGAACTGCTCATGTTCTCCAAATTGGAAAGCCACACATTCTAGACCCCAGTGTCGAAGTTCATCTTCAACTTGCCTAGAGTCGGCCGGGTGCATGATCTCAATATAGTGTGGAACTTGTAGATCATTGTGCCCTGCTCTGAGGCGGACTGCTGTCGTAGTGGGCTGCGCAACAATGAGACGCTCCAATTCAAGGATTTGACTGGGCTCCGGCCCATGGGCTTGAGCCACCGCACCATAGGCGCTCGGAGTCCGTCCTGTGAAGATGCATCCTTCTTTGAAGAAGATTGAGCCCTCCATCAGCCTGTGCGTGGGTTGACGCTGAACTGGTTCCTCCATGTGTCAGGAAGGCATGCGTAACGACCAAATGGAATCCACTGCCATGTCTAGTTGGTATTGCTTGTTGCGCCTCATAGTTCAAATTGCCTGAACCCAGCCAGAATGTAGCAGCTTCGTGTTCATATCCCGTCGCTTCTCGAATATGCACCAGGTGGCAAGGATTCGGAACTGTGATGGCAATCCTATGTGGCAGGCGATTGTTCACTGCATCGTCTTGGATCGTCAGCAGGACCCCAGAAGCTTGATTCGCAAAAAGCTGTGTGAGGATGATGTGACCTGCGATGTCAGACTCCATGTGTGGAGGATTGGGTCGTACAAGATGAATGTCAAAGGGTATACCAGGGAAGATCTGGTCGCTCCATGTTCTCAAGAGTCTTTCTCTCCATTCATCAACATTCTCATGAAGAGTCACTCTGCGTGGATGAAGGCATCTTCTAACTCCTCTTTCAGGACATAAAAACCAGACCTGAAAATGCGCTGCTAGCTCACCACCTTGCCAATCAAACGCTCCAGAACGCCATGCACTGTAGAGGTCGTTGATCTCCTGTGGTTGTGTCCAAAAGTTGGGAACTCCAGGGATGAACTCAGGTGCATCCGGGTTGAGGTGAGGAGTTTGGAAGCCAGCACACTCTGCAGTTTTTTCAGGCAGGTCAACAGCTCTCTTGTCCTTGAGTGGAAGGTCTTTGCATCAGTTCAATGTGATCAGATTCAGCTGCATCATTGGATCTGACGTGAATGATAATGTTCTCCGCTGCTTCAAGGTATTCCAAACGATCCACCATTGCGAATGGGAAGCCTTTGAGCGTGATGCGGCACGTACTGGAACTGCATGCGGTAGAGAGTTCAGTGATGCGTAGCAGGCTCGAGGTACTCTGCAGTTGCTCCCACGAGTAAGCCCTATGTTCCCATGCAGCAGTAATTGATCTCATTTCTGAAGCTCACAAGTCCAACAACATGTTGGTCTCTGGTCGCTTGTTCAATGATGATGCGGGTTTGAACGCATTCGAATCTGGTACATGGTGGTGGTGGCTGGATGACCTGCAATGTGCTAGGCAGCTCCTGGTCAATTTCAGCGTGCCAGACTTGCAATATAACCTCACACCACGTGTCGGAAAGAGCTTGAAGCCGTGCTGGTCTGCCTTCATAGCATCTTGGCCTGCTTTGATGGTGTATGTACCAAATTGTGACATACATGATTCGGCCTTCTTCTTCGCATTCTATGAGGTCAGCCTCAGTGAACATTCGGCGAAGCCTTCCTTCGTGTCCAGGTGCAAAAACGCATTGCTGGTGCTGATGATGTCTTCTTGGCCTGAAAGGTCGAACTTGTGCTTGATCAGGAAGAAGAACTCTTGGTTCCAAGCCAGGAGTCGCCTCTTGAAGGTGTGTACTGATCTGTCGGAAAGAGGCGTGTGATGCACGACTCCTGCACCTTGCAGCGACATCATTTCTGTCTGGCTCTTCTTCAGCAACAAGTTCCCTGGCTATTCCAATGGCAATCTCGGTGTCAAGATCAGGATCAATTGGAGGTGGAACTTGGATCCTGATGTACATGCCGTGAGCCATCTGGTGAACTCTATTGTCGCTCGCAAGCCACAATTCGTTGTCCTTGCTGACAACACAGCGTTGTTGTTGAATCTGACAGTATTCCAACAATCCAGTGAGCATCAAGATGTGGTCTCTGTGAAGGCTCGGATTGACCTTGAGGACCTTGCGGCTTGTGGCAGCAGGTACAAGAAGTCCGCCTCGTAGAGGATGGAAATGGATTTCCAGATCAAGCAGGATCAATTTCTCCACGGAGCCCGGTGCAACATCTCTAACGGACTGTAGGATAATCACCTCTTCTGCAGTTTCATGCACACCTGCCGGCGTTGCTGGCACATAGTGGAAGCATCTCACATCTCTGCGCCTCATGTACGTCGCATGGATGGCCTCTTCCAAGATGGACATATATGTTCTGCTTGAAGCAAAGCAGGGTGCCTCTGGCTCATCTAAGCGGTAGATCAATATGCTGATGTCGCCACTATGAAGGCTGCAGCTGTCATACGCTCTTGGTGTTGGAGATTGCTGTGAGTCGATTTCCATGTCAACCTCAGGCCCAAGCGTCTGTTCAGTTGTATGATGCATCAAGGATTGCTCATCAGGTTCGCACTGTGGAACTTGTGCTGCCTTGTTCGATGATGCGCTCGGAATGCTTGTCACAGTCAAGGAATCCAGGATCGTGATCGTGAAAGCTTGTCCATGTTGAACAACATGCTCGTTGGCAAGGGAAAATGGAATTTCGACCCACGCAATAGTCGTACGGCATCTCAAACTGGGTTGGTGGCACCAATAATCAACATTTGCAGCTGTCGCAAGTGCAACTCCTCCAATCTGTCTCGGGAGTGAGCACGCAACTGCATAGGAAAACGGTTGATGTTGATGGTGGTGATGATGAATCGTTGTGAGGGTTGAGAATCTCCGCATCCAGTGGCCCTGTGAGATCACGACGTCAGCGTGAACAGGCCGATGAAGATAGCCTCTGTAGGGATCCGGCTGGATGACATGAATCTGGATCTCCTCATTTGGGCGGATATGTCCCCGCCAAGCGAAGCCAATGTCTCGCTCCCATCTTCTCCAATCTTCTGAAAATTCAAGAAGTTTCGGATGTTCACAAAATCGGAAATTCTCATGGTGGAGGTACCATGTTCGGATGTGTAGGTCTCCATCGCTGTCAAGGTCAGTGAAGGCCCCATGTTCTTCAGCTCTTGTAAAAAGGTCATGAATGAACTGTGGAGCACCAATTGGGTCAGGAATGGCATCCGGATCATCTTCTTGTTCAGGATCACCGTGCCCTTGGAGTCCTTCAGGAAGAGGATTGTGCCATGCGTCTGAGATTCTATAGTGTGTGACCCAATTGAGTCACTTCTCTTGCACCTCCGTTTGCTCCACGGTTTGCCTTCACTTTGTTTCCAATTGGCCAGGGAAGCCAATGTCATAGTCGTTGAGAAAGGTTTCAGAAAATCAGGATCAGCATCCGCAGGGAAAAAAACGCAATCTCTACACATTCATCAAAAGAAGGGTGTCGTGTAGGATCAATTGATGGCCAACATGTTCTGGTTCTCGGCATTGGAACCTGTGTGCGCCCACGTTGCTCTTGCCAACTCCCCAGTTGAGCTGAAAGCTTCATGGCGTCGTCCACTGCTTGCCAAGGACTCAGAAAGTTGCTCTCGTAGATGCAAGCATGTCCCCACTTCAGAAGGGAGCTGCTTGAGCCTACCGGCCATTGGTCGTTAGCCCGAAGGCCTAGCGACCGGCCCCACCAAAAGGCTGCATAGCCGATGACTTTTTGCCATCGTCTACCCTTTGGCGCTTGTTGCCTGATTCTTCTCCAATCTCCTCTGTTCTCACATGCAATTGCTCGAGGCCATCTAGCATGCCCTTGAGCCCTTCTCTCATGTCTTGGCTTGACTTCGCTGTCCTGTCCAGGCCTGCATCTTCGTCTTCGATGGTCTCGACCTGATCCTTGAGTTCCTCTTCCGTGGCTGCATTCTTTGCCTCGTCTAGAGAGTGCTGAGCTGCTTGCAACTCGATGTCTGCCGTGCCAATGAGCTCCTCGAGCTTGCGGTCCTCCTTGTCGAAGTCTTCGATGAAGGATCTCCACGTCGTAATGGCTGACTCCAAATACTGCTTCCAGGCTGCATGGAGATTTGCCCTGGCTTGGCGAGCTTCTAGCACTGCCGTTTTGGCGTCTCCATGGACTGTGACAGCTTTGTGGAGCTTTGAGGTGGCTGTCTTGTTCTGCAACACATCTGCCTCCTTTGCAAGAGTCTGCAACTCTGGGTCGTCTTTCTTCTTGAGCACTGTCACAATCTCGTGTAGTTTGGCCTCTGCCTTGGACTGCGCAGGCGTAGCCGACGCCGGCGCAGGAGGCTGAGCTGCACTGGATGACCACGGTGGAGGCTCTATGGCAAGTTTCCCCTTGCCTTTCTGGCCTTTTTGGCCTTTGCTTCCTTTGCCCTTGCCCTTGTTGGACTTGTTGGGAACCTGTGGTCTTTGCTGGTTGCGCTGTGCTCGACGTCCTTGATGAGGTTTCGGATATTGTGGAAATCTTCTGGTCGAGGAACTGCGTGATGACGTTGAGGCTTGCTCCCAATCTTGCTCCCAATCGTCCCACTCGTGTTCCTGCCATGCTCCTTGTTGCGTCCAGTTGGAATACGATCTCCCGGACGATTCCCACTGTCTACTCAGTAGACGGCTGTGCATGTCTCTGCTGTTGGCGTTGACTCGGAGGGACAAAAGTGTGATCCATGAAGTCCTCCCAGTGACCACCGCAATCTCCGCAACAGTTTATATTGAATCTGTTGAGCTTGCTGCAATTGAGGCAGCGCCACGGGTCTTTCGATTGCTTCCACATTGCTGCTGATATTCTGCGTAACCACGCTGAATCCCTTGAGTGATGCTTCTGCAGTCTGGTCTTGATGGATGCCAATTGAGCCCTGGACAGCTCCTTGAAGCCCTTGGCAAAAAGGTGCCAGTGGAACCTGGCAGTCGCTCTTAACCTTCGTTCCCTTCTCCTTCTCGATGGGTTCGCCGTAGTGCTCAAACACCGGCGCAGCAAAGATGAAGAGCAGGAAAACCAAGAAGGACACAACCATGAAAAGGTAGAAGACCAAAAAATGCTAAGCCCGATCACAAAGATAAAGGCAGCAGGGATGTCAATCTCCGTGTACCCGGGTTTGGTAACGCTGCCGGGACAGCAGGAACAAGAACTTGCTCAGCCTGCGCAGGGCTAACCAGATCACGCAGCTGCCGCAGAGGTTCAGGCCGATGGCGAGTCCAAGGGCCCGCGGGTCGAGTTCGCGAGAGACCCGCTAAGGTTGATCAGGCGGGGGGCTACCCTAATCTCACCCTCCCAGCCGAAACCTTATTTAATTATATATATATTATATTATATATATGATTTGGGCCTATGGTGGATTTCTTTCAGATAAATAGCTTCAGCTTTGGCGCCCCCGTGGAATGCCTGAACTCTTGAAGAAGGACGGCCGGCCGAGTTTTCCGCTTTTGGGCCAGCTTTTGGAGGGTTGCTTGAAAGAGTGATTTCCCATTCCCCGACTTGCAGCTTTCCGGTTTAAGTTTCTAACGACGTCGTTTTTGGCATTTTCAGCCCTGAAAATGCCAAAAACGACGTCGTTAGAAATTCCTGGGCTCGATTCCCCCCTGGGTAGCCTCGATTCCCCCCTAGCTTGCCGGCAGAGACTTCCCGGCCTCGCAGGAAAAGACTGGTAAAAGGCCTTTCAACAGCCCGCTGCCGCAGAACAGTTAGTTTGGGATGGAGTCGAACCATGCAGTCTTAGAATACTACTTATGGGGACTAGCGATGATGGTTGTAATTCTTGACTTGAGGTGTTGTAAATACGCAGCCCCTTAATTTCATACGAGTGTGTTGAACAATAATGCGTGCTGGGATATACTAGTCGGATAGTGGGACCAGTGATGGTTGTTGTAATTCTTAACTTGGGGTAGACATAGGTTTCCATCCCTGATTTTCATGTAGCTTTGGAGGTTTAATTTCTAACGACGTCGTTTTTGGCATTTTCAGCCCCGAAAATGCCAAAAACGACGTCGTTAGAAATTCCTGGGCTCGATTCCCCCCTTCGTTTCTAACGACGTCGTTTTTTGCATTTTCAGGGCTGAAAATGCCAAAAACGATGTCGTTAGAAATTCCTGGGCTTGATTCCCCCCTAAGTAGCCTCGATTCCCCTGACTAGCCGGCAGTTTTCTGCGACTTCCCGGCCTCGCAGGAAGAGACTGGTGAAGAGGCTCCGTTCAACAGCCCGCAGCAGGACAGGTGGTTTAGGATTGGGTCGAACCATGCAGTGTTGGGATACTAGTGGGGTATGTTGTACGTAATTCTTACAGGGGATATATTAGTGGGGCATAGTGGGACCAGTGATGGCTGTAATTCCTAACTTGGGATATACATAGGTATCCCCGGATTATTCCTGGGCTCGATCCTGCTTGGGTAGCTTTTTGGGGTTTAGTTTCTAACGACGTCGTTAGAAATTCCCGGGCTCGATTCCCCCCTTCGTTTCTAACGACGTCGTTTTTGGCATTTTCAGGGCTGAAAATGCCAAAAACGACGGCGTTAGAAATTTCTGGGCTCAATTCCCCCCCCTGGGTAGCCTCGGCTTCGATCCCCCCTGCCACCTTTGGGGACATTCCCAGCATGCCTTGCAGGAAGGGCATCGTGCAAAAGCGAAGAGAGCAGGTGAACAGGGCAGTGGTTGGGCTGTGTAAGGCGATATAAACACATGCACCAAATGTAATACTCATCCGAAATAATGTTAAGTGTGAATCACAACTGCGGCCCGGAGGGTTTGACTTGAAAATTAATAGCTCATCAATAATTTATTGATCGTGTGGGTTTCATAATAGCTCCTAATTGGCAAATCTTGATTTCAAATGCCACATTTTTGGCATTCGCATAGAGGCCTCGGGCCCAAGTCAGTACCACTTTCCATATAACCGTTTTTCCATGGCTGTCCCAACATGGGAGGAGAATGTTTTTGAGAAATACAAGAGTGAGTATGATTGGCTCACCCTGGAGCGTGCTGAAGACCAAACTTACCTGGGTTGCAGTTTGTGCATGAAGTCAGAGTCAAAGAAGAAGCGTGGATTTGCTTCTGGACGCTACGAAGTGAAAAAGTATTTCAACCAGCGCACTTTGCAGCAACATGTTGATTCACCCATCCATCAAACCTGCTTGGGCAAGGCAAAGTCTTCTCCCAGCCAACCGCAAGACTTGGTGATTGTCGCTTCCAGTCCTTCCAGGCCTTCCTCTGACAAAGATCCTGCAACACTACCCCGCCGGATGCCAAGCCAGTCTTCCGAACAGGCCACGCCCAGCACATCAGGCAAGAAAGAGACCCAGACACGTAGAAGCTTCTACAACTTGATGCGTGGGGTCTACACCACCTTGCACCAATGTCTTTCAAGCTGTGTCTTCCGCATCCTTCTCTCCTTCGCTGAAGCATGTGGCGGGGTCCTGCCACAGCAACAGTCCGGCACTGTCTTCGAGGAGTGTCGCGACTTGATCATCAAGAAAGTGAAGGAGAGGCTAGAATGTGCTATCCGGGCTTCGCCATACTTTGCTCTTTCCATCGATGAGAAAGCCACGATGCTCATCATTGTGGTGACATTCATTGGCCCAAACTGCGAAAAGCTGTCTGCTCCTCTGGCGTACAGAAACTTGGCCGGCATGGAAGCATCAGATCTCTTTGCTTCTGTGAAAGACACCTTGGAAGCCTCGCTGTTGGACCCTGCAAACTTGGTGGCCTTCTGCGCTGATGGTGCTTCTGTCATGGGCACCCGAAAAGCCATGTCCGATCCTCAGGATGGCAACAACGTAGCCCGCCGCTTGAAGGCTTTCTGTGGGCACCCTATTCTTGTTCAGCACTGCAGCCCACACAAGTTGCAGTTGGCGGTGGAGGCAGCCTTCCATGGCGATGATTACTTCAAGGAAACGGAGCAACGCATACGTGCATTGTTCAAACACCTCAAAGCCCATCCTTCCAGCAACATCGATCTCGTGTTCTGGTCGGAACTCACGGGCGAGGATGTTTTGACCTCCGTCAGCACTTCAGCGGCCCGTTGGCTCTCTTGGCTGCGTCCTCTGGAAAAGATCCATGCAAGCTTCACAGCTTTGCTGGCTCATCTCCTGTATGAGTTCACGCACCATGCCAACAAGGAGCAGAAGAAGACCATCCAATGGATGTTTCTTTTCTTTTGCTCCTGGGAATTCCGTCTCACCATCGCTGGCATCACTGATGTCTTGAGGATCTGCTTTCGCTCCACAAACTTGTTGGAAAAGGCAAAATCTCTGACTGCAGTCTGCAAGCTGGCAGAGCAGCTTAAGGAGGAGCTGGATCGATATTGTCGTCGAAAATCTTTGCTGGCCGACGCTATGGCTGGTGAAAGGGCTCTTCCTGCTGGAGACCTTGGCAGAGTCTGTTTGTGACTTGTACCGCCAACAAAAGGACCAGCATCTACGTCTGACATATGCCCTTGTTGGCGGCCAGGTCCTTGATCACAAAGTGACCCTGACAGGCATCGAAGATCGTCACCACATGAAGAAGATCTTTCGAAGGGTCAAAGCCTTCAGCGAGTCCTGCCAGGAACAAGTCCTGCGCAGGTTCGAAGCCAAGGAGGTCTGGAAGCACGCTCACATTTTTGATTTCGACTTTGTTCCCACGAATGAATCCCTGCATGTAATGTATATAGAAATTTTATATTATTGTTTTTTGATATAAAAATAAAATACATATTTTAAAAAAAAAAT